ACCGAGGCCATAGGCTCCACCTCGCCTGACCCTTGAGGGCGGGCTCTATCTCACCCGACACCGAGGTCGCGGGCTCTGCCTCGCCCGACCCCTAAGGGCGGCTCTGTCTTGCCCGACACCGAGACCGCATGTTCCGCCTCGCCCGACCAAAAGATGTCAACGGGGCCCCATTCCCCGATTCCCCGTGGGGAATTCACACATTAGGGGACGGGGATGGTACAAATCTTCTCCACATGGGGAATTAAATGGGGAAAAAATCATCCCCATAGGGTATCACGGGGTGGGGATGGTATACATGCCCCCGTCCCCGTTCTCCGCAGGGACCCGAAATGTTTAAGGCCCATCTAAAAAGGCCCAATTCATGTGTACGTATATAAGGCAATTGTAACCCTAACCTTATCCTTTCCATTCTTTCCCAGGTTCCCAATCCCCTCCCCCCCGTCCCCCCAGCCGCCACTGCCTCCTGCCGCTCCCTAATCCCTAATTCCCTATCGCGACTCGCAGTCTCACAGACCCGGCGGCGCCACCGCGGCCACTCCACCAGTCCACCTCCAGCAGCCACTCCACTCCACTCCATCGACCACTTGCAGTCACCAGAGGAGCTCACCGTCGGATCAACACCACCAGGGCCGCGCCGCCTGTAGAGCATCACGGGAGACGCATCCGCACATCCTTCACCGCCGGCCACCATGGCTTCACCCTCCCCACCTCCAAGCTTGGACAGTGATGAAGTAAGGTGAGAAACTAAGACTCCATGTCCATGTAGCCTGCACTCCTGCACTTTGCACAAGCGTGTCTTAGTCCTCCCTCGAGATTTTGCCTATCGGGCATGGGCGGGGTATGGGCTATGGCTACGTGCCTGCGTCGTTCTCGTTCACTCACTAACCCACGTCCGGCGGTCCTCACGAAGGGATGCCATGGATTTGGATCGGCCACCAAATGCTATGCCGGCTACTAGATCCGCCGTCGTGTTGGCGCCTGCTGCAGTCGTCTTGCAATTGAAGGAGCTCCTGCTCCGACCACTCCAGAAGCATCAATCGACGGTGGCCACCGGCTACTAAAATCCATGGGGTCGGTTTTAATCTCGCTAACCTTATACTCTTATTAGCTTGTTTATATTAACATTTTTGCATGTGTAAACTGTATTCCATGGTTATGATTTATGAATGAATGCAACTAAAATCTATGGTTCTGAATCATTTAGTTAAAACTTCAGATTATTATTAAATGTATGTGTGTGTAACGATTTACATAGTATGCTACAATGTTCATATTTATATTCTATGCTCTGAGGTTCAGATTATTACAGCATGTTTTGGTGCATTTTATTTATGTTTGCATATTTCATATATAGTCGTAGATTTCATTCATATTTATTTGTTAATTGTCAGATTCACTATGAACGCAACTCAAGGCAGCGGGAGTAGCAGCCAACAAGATTCACAATCATTTCCACCACAAACTGAATCTGTTAATGATTCTGAGCCGATACAAATTGAAGACGATGAGCCCGATACAATCACTTCCACCACAAACTGAATGTGTTAACTTGTTTTCCCTTCTCGAGCATGTCCTGTACATGTATTAACTCGTTTTTCCTTCTCAACCCACTGTCAGGTAAGTTCTGAGAAAGGGCATATAGAAGCAGTTGATAGTAAAGGTGTTTAACGCGGAAGCATCATCGAGCTTGGACATTGTGTGAGGTCGTGAAGCTGGTTGATGGTGTGGCGCGGTTTGGAGCTGGCAAGTGGTCTGAGATTAGAAAACTATCCTTTGCCTCATATTCTTACCGCACTTCAGTGGATCTCAAGGTGTGTTTGCTTGTAACAGCTGAAACTTACTGCGATTTCATTTTCCAATCATACATTGAAACCTGTTGTTTATTCAGGACAAATGGTGTAACCTGATCAGAGCAACCAAGACATAGCTTCCGGCACAAAAAGACGTAATCACTTGACCCTCTTCAAGGCACATGAGCATCGTTATTTATTTTGTTATTTATCTATTCACATCGTTTATTTATCCTGCATTTATTTGCTTCCTGATGTTTGATTGTTCCTTCAACTCCTCTTAGCAGGGTGCCTGTCTGCGGAAGATTAACCCTTCTATCATACCAATACCACCATCCATTTTGTTGCGAGTGAAGGAGCTAAACGAGCTGCAGCTGCAAGGGGGTGGCTTCACAGCCCCAGTCAAGTTCTCTGGGCAGGACAGCAAGGTTCTACAGGGAAAATGGTCAGGTTTTTTGTGATCCGTGTGACCGTGTCATGCTGATATAGTGGGTAAAGGAAAGCACTAATTAGTTAGGTGTACGCTTCTGGACGATGTGGCATGTATTATATGAGTAAATATTATACAAAGTTGGTGTATTGAACTACCGTGTGCATTGAGTACTCAACACATGTGCATTGAACTACCAGGTCTTTTCTATGTGCAGTTGATGGCTTTGCGGGGATGGGGATGGGGAAGAAGTGCTCCCCGTGAAGGGGACGGGAGAAATTTTCCCCAGGGTTTGGGCCTCGCTCGAGCCCTGAGTTTGGAGGAACGCCCGGACCTCGTCCAGACCGAGCGGGTGAGGGTCGAGATGGCGGACTAGAGGGGTGGGGATGGGCAAAGAACTAATAAAGCAACGGGAATTCCTCGCTGACATTGCCCTAGTACTTTAAGACCCTCGGTGGTGGCTCCGCTCACTAGACTCAATAACAAGGCAACGGGCTCCACCTCTAAGCAATGTGACGACCCCAAATTAGCGAGGGTGGGATCAAGCAAGCCTATCTACACAAGCTATCTAATTACAAGAGCAACCCTTGGGTTTGCAAGCTTGGGGATCAAACGCCAAGGTTGACACGATGATTTTCTCCCCGAGGTTCACGTGTTTGCCTTTGGGAGGAACTCCACCTCGTCACCACCCGCTAAGCCCGCATGTCGGGCACCGCAAGAACCTACCCCTGGGACTCCGTCTCACCCCTCGCACGGAGACCCATACTTCTTGCGCCGCCGACCGACCACCAGTGTCTCTAGGAGGTGGCAACCTCCAAGAGTAACAAGTCCAAGCTCGCAGCTCGACACCTAGTGGAGATGAACCTCACACAATCGCACTAGATACTAACCCATGGCCGCTATCGGTGCCATGGAGGGCTCCCAAGCACTCACAGGGGTTCGTGATGGCGCCAAGGGCTAAACTAGCCGATTACCCTTCATCGGGCAGCGGTTACGGTCAAACGGGTTCGTTGCGTCGGCAGCACTCCGCCGTCCGTCACTTCCACAACCGTCTCGTTGTTCGCTTAACCTCATCGAACACCGGACAAAGCCACCACGACTTCCACCAGGGCCGGAGTGGAGCGCCATGATCGGGAGATGGCAACTTCGTTCTCACTTCTAACTTCTTCACCCTTGCTCCAATGTGCTAACCACCAAATTTGGCGCCTATTTTTCCGAAAGCGCCGATCCCGCTTCATAAGCTTCGGCGGAGAGGAAAGAGGACCCAAACCCATCTCACCCCTGCAACACCGTCCTTTATTGATGTCTACACCACCGACGGGACCCGCATAGAAGAGATTTCCCAAGGACCCACTCAACACTTGCGATCCGGAGGACTTCTTCTTCCTTCGATTCTCCTTTTTTTCCTCCGTTGTAACTCGTGTTTTCCCTTGGTCTATAAAAGGGAAAGCAATGTCGATGTTCACATGCACCAACATCATTAATGATATGATCCAGGGGCGTCGAACAAACGATCGAACTTGACTCGATCGCAACACACCGTCGAACCACAAGCTTCACATTGGTACTTTGAATCGATCGCATCATAACACATCTTGTCACACCGATCATTCGACTCAAACCCGAATCAATTAGAACACACATCTCAAGCCATTTTCACCTTCATGGCACAGGCGGAAGGACTAATCACCCAAAACCAATGTGTGTATCGAAAAAACCAGGGACCTTTCACCCTCGGCGGAGACCCATACCGCCAGCCGCCGCTCCGGTCTAAGTGTATGGGTCGCTCCCCATATCCGAGGGTTCGCGATCGAGGAACAGCCTTGGAACATGTCCTCTCGATCGTTTGTAACCCCTAATACGAACTTTCGGCGATCCTGGAGGACTTCTAGTAACTTCGTGCTTTCCCTTGGTCTACGACGTCAACAAACGATCGAACTAACGAAACACACCGGATGTAGGGACATTAACACATCACACACGATTCGGACTCAAACCTCAATCAATTAGAACACACAAGCACACGGATAAACATCGTGTCTCCTCACTGCGAGCACATCATCCGTAGAAATCGGATGTAGGGACATTCTGCCTCAACCAAGATAAACATATTATTAGAAATTTACTTATTGGTGGCAACTCGAAACACCGACACCGACCGGAGGGGTGGGTTACCACTAGGAAATAACGAAATGGAGATCTAGTTCTTAAGATGTTATTCCAGGTAATAAAAAATTGAGAAATCTAATTCTTAAGAAAATATTGTTTTGGAGAAATAGTTTGTTCACGCTATCATCAAGAACGAAAAACTGTTTTGTTTTCTTAAAAAAATAAAGGGAATATATTATATGGTGCGATTATTTTTGTTGATGAGTCCAAAAGAAACACTCATTAAAAGTTGTATACTACGCTTTGCACCGAAACAAAAACAGTCCTACGCATGAATGAAACGAGAGGGTTCGTCCAAATTGTAATCTACTAGTCTACTACTACTGCCGTGTTACTGACCCTCGAACCGAAACGCCCACCGCGAGAGTTCGCAACGCAACCGGCCGGTGATGCTATCACCAACACCTAACAGGCTAACACGGTGTCCTCTCCTCTCTAATCCCGTGCTCCCACGCTTCGTAATAATAAAATAAGCATAAATAAATCCACAGAGCAAATCTCAATTCGCTCGCCGCAAAACACGGCACTAGAAAACACGGTGTCAGAGAGAGCGAGGCAAAAAAAAAAAAAAATCCCAATCCACCCCCGCCGCGAGATCGCCGGGCGCCGCCATGTCGACTCCAGCCGCCGCCTACTACGCCGCCGCCGCGCGCAAGCAGTACTTTTGCTACCAATGCAACCGCACCGTCCTCATCGCGGCCTCCGCCGCCGCCGCCGGGGAGCTCTCGTGCCCCGAGTGCCACGGCGACTTCCTCGAGGAGGTCACCGTCCCTGCCCCGACCTTCATCCCGCTCCCCTTCCCGTTCCCCTTTGCCTCCACCACCACGATCCCCGCCGGCAGCACCGCCCCGGCCCCCGCCGCCGCCCCCGCCCCAGCAGCCGCCGGCTCCGGCGGGTCCCCTCCCTTCTCGTCCTCGTCCTCCTCCGCCGCGACCTCCCCGTCCCAGCCCAACGACATCTCCTCCATCCTCAACATCTTCCTCGGGCTCGGGGGCGAACAACCCCCCATCAGGTCTGGCGGCGGCTCCGGCTCGCGCGCAGCCGCCGGCACGGCCACCCCCGAGAACGAGCCGGAGCCCTTCGACCCGGTCATGTACTTCCAGAATTACATCCACAGCCTCATGGAGGGGGGCGCCAACATCCAGGTCCTCCTCGACGACGCCAGCGTCAACCTCGGCTCCGGACCCGGCCTCGGCCGCATCGGCGGGGCAAGCTTCGGGGATTACTTCGTCGGCCCAGGCCTCGAACAACTCATCGAGCAGCTCGCCGAGAACGACCCCAACCGCTATGGCACGCCGCCGGCTGCCAAGTCGGCCCTCTCCTCGCTCCCCGATGTTGTCGTGACTCACACCATGGTTGCAGCTGCGGAGGGTGCTGAGTGCGCCGTCTGCAAGGAGGATTTCTCGCCTGGGGAGGTGGCCAAGCAGATGCCCTGCAAGCACATCTACCACACCGACTGCATCGTGCCGTGGCTTGAGCTTCACAACTCGTGCCCCATCTGCCGCTTTGAGCTGCCCACTGACGATCCTGACTATGAGGGGCGGAAGGGCTCTAATCCTCAGCCGGCTGTTGGTATTGCTGCTGCTGCAGCTGCATCTGGGAGCTCGACTGCTGCTGAGGGACAAATGGAGGAGAGGCAGGAGAATCCAAGGGTGGTTGAGAGGAGGTTCAATGTCTCGCTGCCGTGGCCATTCAGTGGATTGGGAGGCCAAACATCGCAGCAGGATGGGAACAGTGGGGGCAGCGGAAGCAACTCACAAGGCGGTGGCTCGCAAGATGGTGGCCCACCCAGCAGCAAGAATTGATCACAAATCAGCTGGAGGTATTTTTGCAAAATAGAATTCTGCTACCGTTGCTATCTATATAGTTTTTTTTTTTGAAGTGGATTGAGATTTGATCACAAATCAGCTGGAAGTATTTGCAAAATAAAATTCTGCTGCAGTTACTAGCTATATAGTTTTTTTTCAAAAAGTGGATTGTAACCTGCTTGAAACTATTTATTCTCTCATCAAAGCTCATTTTATTTGTTAGGCCCCGTTCGCTTTGCTGAAAAAACAAGCTGAAACACTGTTCCGGCTGATTCGCTGTGAGGAAAATACTGTTCCGGCTGAAAAAACAAGCTGAAAAGTAAGGATTATAAGAGAAGCGAGGCAATGTCATTGACTGTGGAATTACTGTTTTCTTTTTAACCGAGGGAAGGAACCACCCAAATATAGTGAAAATGTCATAAAAGGCAATGTCATTTGTGTATGTTATAGGGGTATCATATCATACGTAGAGAAGTCTTTATAAGCCCTGGTAAAGCAGGAAAAGTTGGAGAAGTAGTACAATTAATTAGTTAATTAATCTGATATACTTGATGTTGTGACTTGAAATTTCATACAGCAACTGTGGCCTATGCTGTTCACTGTTACAACAAGTTTCTATCATCTTAAAACAAAATGAACTCGATGCTTGTATCGTGTTTGCAGTGATAAGGCGAGTTTCTACATGTAGACAGAGTGGCAGAGCTTCTTTAAGGCCAAGGAGGGCCATGGCCCCCCACTGACCTCCTAAACTTGTTTAAGCAATAGCTAATTTCACTATTTAATTGCTATATGCAATGCTAATCTGCACTCTCATTTGCCCTCTCTCAACTCCTTTGGGAAGTCTGCCACTGCCTGTAGAGATTATTGGTTCAATTGAAACCATGTCACGATGTTGACACAAAAATGTGGCGATGTGATCAACACACAGCAAGCCGGATGATCTTGACGGAGTGAGCCCGAAGATCTACTTAGCTTCAACACAAGAACGATTGGTTTCGGGATAAAAGGCGTGCCAGTCAATTTGACCCTGCAATTGACAATGAGAGAATAATCAGTAGTTTAAGGTGGAACATGTCGGTGTTGCACCAGACAGTTCTAATATGTGGCCAAATAGCCGATTCAATGGGGCTATCGATTAAATAGTCGATATCTAGCGTATTCATGGAACGAAGACCTTTGAATCAAGGATTATCGGCTAATATTAAACGATAATGATACGAATCGAAATAAACGATGCTCATGGAACATCAGAAAACATCATCGACTAAATAGAACATGATCGATATAAAACGTTGAGCCGATAAGTTTGATGAAAAGAGTATAACACACGAACAAATCGACTGTCTAGTACAAATGAATCTACAAACGCTCTGAATCTAATCTGTTACCATCAACAGTGAGGTTCGATCGGATCGATACAACTATGATAATAATAACAAACTAAAGCCAAAGAATCTATAAAACCATCTATGTATTGACAGGTTCATGAAAAAGATGCTATATGCGTGAAAGCACAGGCGAATCGGCTAAAATAGCCGATGTGTGCATAGCAAACAAATAGAGTACATATCTCAATCATGAACAAAATCACTAATCGATAATCTCTAATCCAAAGTCTTACCAGTGAGGTTCGACTGGATCGATGCAGCTATAGTTGTGTCGTTAGATTAGATCTTATTAACTAGTGAACTTACTCAAGATCGGAACATATTTTTGAATACATACTATGTTTGATTGGAATAGAGATAAAACAACTGATCTAGCAGAATTAAGCCATCAATTATAAGATTCAAAGTGTGACCAGACTCGAGGACGACCAATTAAGATGATGTGATGCCGATTCTATCTTTATCTCAATCAGGTGATTTGTTATAATTAATAAAACATTAATTATAACAAGATCGATAACTGATGAATCAACCAAAATTAGTAAGAAAAATCTTACTAATCTTAGTAGATTTGATAACTAGTGATATTATGTTAAACAACAAGTTATTTAACACAAGATTGATAACTTTGATCTATATTATGGTTCGTAAGAGATCAATCAGCTGATGCAGCCTTACAAACAACAATATGAATCGATAACTAACTTTTACCACAACTCGTAAGAAATCAATCGGCTGATGCAGCCTTACAAGTAATAATAAAAGTCATGGCGGTACTTTCAGACAAGCCGGAGGTCGATCAGTCGATGCAGCCCTGCTTGTTGAAGAACTCGCCGAGTTTCTACGCTTCTCCTACTCCTAAGGGTTGGCGTGAAGCCGAAAAAGTAATTGTATTGATTGATTGAGAGATGATCCCTTTACAATAGGCCGTACCCTTTATATTTATAGGGACGTGCTTGGCTTTGCATACAAGAATAGTCTAATTGAAAAAATCCTACGAAGTACAAGGACCCTTCGTTAATCCAAAACTGCCAAATAATATCCCTTGACCGACGTGTGCGAGGACTCCCCCCTATGGTGGACTTTCTCATAGCCTGCATGCGTATCTTCCTTCTGGCCATATGCGGGTTTCCTTCCTTACTTTACATCTCAGCAAGCAAATGTGGTGTACTTGGAGTCGTATTCTGTGATGCCTCACCATGCCTGTGAATCTCCATCTATCTGGCTCTCCTTGTTCGACGTGTCTTAAGTCTTTGAAAGAGAGACACGTTATTTTGCTGAGTATGTGTATGACCCCTAGCCGGCCTCGTATACGCATATACAAGATACACATCCTTGCTTCTCATCGTTGATGTGCACCTGGACGTCCGTATATGTGTATATTCCTTGATTTCTTTCTCTATTAGCTTGCAAGATCAAATTGACGATTTCTCTTGGACTGATCAATCCTGCATGCATGTAACTTCTTTTGCTTGCAAGCAACCACCGACCAATTTCTTTTCCTGCTTTTCCTCACATATAAATATCCAGGTCGGCAATAATACTTCTTTTGGACTTGTCCACGTAGGATCTCTGTAGTAGATTAATGCTGTCTCCTTGCCGAGTATTTGGAATATCAAATAACCTTTGTCTACCCGGCAATACATCGTAAATGACTCAGCTTAACTGAACCTGTGGCTGGCTTGCAAATATGATTTTCATGTCTTTGATATCATTGGTTGATACTTTCCTCTCCAGGGTAAGTTTACCAAATTTTGGTGTCAACACATGAGAAATTCCCTGGATCCAGTTGTAAATGTAGTGTTTGAACAATGGATGGTAGTACTCTGTGTTACCCTAATTGCTCCAGATCAATTGCCATACATGCCAAATTTGTTGGCCAAGTTTTTTTTTTTGGGTTTATGATCTTACAAGTGTACATGTTAAATGGAACACTGTCTTAGTTTTTGGCTGAATGTTCACTTCCTTTTCTAATCACAAGATTAGGGATCAATTCCTTATTTGAAGCAGAGGAAACTTCAGGAATCTAATGCAAAACCTATGCTTCTTTGCTTCCAACCCTCTCATGTCAACTATGATAATCACCTGCTTTCAGGAGTACATTGATATGTCCCTATAGAAAGCTATTTTCTATAGGAACAATATCTTTCTTCAGAAAGGCTCTATTTTCTTATGGAAAAGAAACCTTTTTGGTTATACACAATAACTTCTAATCCTTTGTCTAGCATAACTGTAGGGATCAATTGTCTTGTTAAGAAGATAGGATTTGCAAACTGAGAAGCTTGCGATCAACATGATTGTATGTTCTTAAATTGCCTACCTAGAAGGCTATAGTTTCTGCATCAAAAATATATATACGACAGTATGTGCTGTTTCATTGTTTTGGCATGCTTTTAGTCATAGTAAACATCTGTCTATATAGTGGATTTTTTGTTTTTCCTAGTTGTTAACCATCCTGTGGAACTTTGATAGATTCTACTTTCAACATTTTTCGTCCATCTCTTATTATGATTTCTGGAATAATGTTTTTAAGATGCAAGTATCATTTCTAGACTAGGACTAACAAAACCAGTATACATTATAAAATGCCCCCCCCAGGAATCAGAAAAGTTTTTGCAAGGCTAGTGTGTTTGGTTTATACAAGACATCTTTCTCAGTATAGCACTTCACAATTGGCTACCTACATGGTTCCCATGGGCTCTATATCAATGTTGGCGACTATGATATATCATTTTTGTTTACTTATATTGCATAGTTAACCAATACACAATGATAGATTGAAAGTAAATGATGACTTGGATTGTTAAAGTGCTCAGAGTTGTATATTTTTCTGCCCATACTTTTGTTTGTGTCCTCCCTTAATCCTGGTAACAAATGTCAATTTATCAACATTGGATTGGATGCATGAGTGCATCATAACAAAACATTCATATCGCTGTATTTGCTCCTTGGAACTGCATTTCTGGTCTTTTAGTTGAATCCTAGGACGGTTCTAGTTTATTTCAATTGTTTTTTAGTTTGTTTCAATTGTTCTTTTTTTGTTTGCTTTAGTTTGTTATTATTCCGTAATGGTTGAATCAGAAATAAGTCAATCTACAGAACCATTGACCCAGCATAGAGTAGCTTTGCTCAGTATTTCAGTCTTTCTGCACTTTATAATCACTTAACCACCTTGCAAGTCAATAAAAAACATAGGATTTTTTCCCTTTTTCATTGTTAACGAAAACAGAGGATGAGGCACATCATCCTTAGCTCTAGCGATAATGTCTCAAGGCTTTCACAGTGAAATCCATAATTTTCTTGGGCACGTGTTATATTTTATATAAAATAAGAAAGGCGTGGAGAATCTGATATTATCTAGATGACAATGACTTGAACATAGAGAAAGTCAATAACTGGAACACTTCAGCTTGAATATATATTGTTTAAAGAACGACCTGCACAGATGATATTTGTAAACTGTCCCAGGAACATGCTAAATCATTCAGTGTGTAAGATTATTATACTAAAGAAATACCAGGCAGTCGTATGGTTCAGTCTATGTTAGCTTCAATTTGTTGACCTTTGTTTTTACCTTATTAATTGGCAAAACCTTTTGTGTGTCTGCGC